TCCGAATTTTTGTACAGGTTTACTCCTGCGGGGAATCGAAACTCAGCATTGGCGCTCCCAATTTAGCAATAACCCATAGTGAATCTCAATACAAATGATGAATGTTAATCGTTTATTTAAATATTTATTAATATGCGAATCAAATGTATTTCTTTATACTCTATGTTTTCGATTTCAAATCGGTTTATCTAACCAATTAACTATTGTTTTAATCTCAAAATTTAGAGAGAACAAAACCAAATAATCACGATATGATAATAAGTAGGATATATGGTAGCAAAAAAAAGTGGCGTAAAATTATTTTAAATATTTTCGAGAAATTTGAGAAAGAAGCCAGTAAATAAAATATAATTGCATAATAAAGTGCACAAATAGCCATTTTTCAGTTTTTTGCTCGAGAAATGAAAGATAAAGGGTAAAAAGTTAGGAAAATGACGCGAAAGGCCTTTGACCGGAAAAATTATGGATATAAAATGAAATTTCTCTTAGAACAAATATGATAATGAATTAAAATATAAAGAAATAACAAATTTCCAGTAATCCGCTCATTATTTAGGTTGGATCAATGCAAAGCTTGATTAATATGATTAAATAGCTTGATTAATATGATTAAGTTTGATTAAATATGATTAATAGGTTGGATCACTTTTTTTCTTTAAATTTGAGTCAGAAATATGAGTAGAACCAGTATATATATATATATATGTATATATTTATAAGTTCAAATTAATTCAATACTGGTGATAAATCCTTAAAATATCTTGTTGGCTTATTATAGTCGAATTGTAGTTAAGATATTTTTAGCATTCTTACTAGTTCTCCAAGCTTTAGAACGTAAGTGCAAGCCTTTTTTCAAAATTCACAAGATCATTTAATCATTTCGCAACGAATTTTGTCGACGATTGACTCCTATATTTTAAATTAACTCCTATTCTGAAATTAAGCTCATTACACCATCATTTCTGTTATTTCATATTTCATATTTTATACGATAATTTGATCTATCTACGGTATTAAAATTCGTCGAGCAATTTTCTGTGCCAATATCGCCGTTCTGAAGTTTCGTTGTTTGTTCTCTTCACAAGTTCACTAAATTAAAAGTTCTAAAGTTTACATCATCAATATCCTCAGAGGTTTATTTTTAATTTTTTTGCCAGTTTTTTATTGAAATTTGTTATTGGATGCAAAAATTAGCTGAATATTTCTGTCCTAAGTTTAATTCAAATCTCATCGAATGAAGAACCAAATTCTTGTAAATTTCTTAATATTCTTTTTATTTTTTATTTCTTCTTCCAACAATCGCACCATTATCTGTTGAATTGCATCCGGCTATAAGGGTAAAGAGCTTTTAAGCCACTTGATCCGATTCTATATATGAAATATAGCTCATCATTTAGCAGGGCAGATTAAAGGAAAGCAAACAAACGTTTTATAAAGAATTTTTGATTCTGTTTTATTATAAAAATAAACACAAAAAATCCAAGGAAGAATTATTAATTAAATAATAATTAATTAGTTAATAAAGGAGAAAAATTTTCCTTCTGATTATTGAAGTGAATTAAAATATTTTTTATCATTTATTTTTATGTGGTAGTAAATTAATAAGAAGAGTGCTGTTTCAATGTTTTTAATGTAAATTTGGAGCATTGCTTTTGACTTATCCAGAAACCTTGATTAAAAAAGGAGAGGAAAAAGTCATCATAACTACACATTGACTCTTTTTTAACGTTGGCTGCAATATTTCCCTCACTTTGATTTTGGAATTTTTTGCCGAGGATTTTTTAAAGTCTATCATATCTTCATTTTTGATTTGCTTTTGCAGTGAAATCAAGCAGTATGTCATCGAACCAATGGTAATTGTTAAGCAACAGGGAAAATTGAGAATGAAAACAATAAATGGAAATAAATGAAAAAAAGGATACAATAAATAAAGGATACAATTAAGATTGATTTAGCTAAATCCACTTTTCACATATGATAAAATTTTAAATTTTTATTTTTACAAAATTTAACAGTCAAAAGAATTGTTTTACATTAAATGACACTGGATTTATTGCTTCTTCTAACAACATAGTCAATGGTTAACTGGCTTCACTGTAACAATCAGGCCCTCTTGAACTAATGCGAAAGTAATAAAAGCCACTGCATCTAAACTCAAATATTATCATTTGAGTGCCCGTGCATTCTGAATCTCTTAACCATGTTAATCCAGGTTTCGAGTGGACCTCTTCTTTTTTGACGCCATCAATCGCTACATTTTATATTATTTTTTATAGATATGTGCAATTTCTGTGATAGGCGGTAGAGAACTGGACCTGATCAGCGTAAGTAACGTTTAAAAAGTGCAATCCTATGCGATTCTATCTGCTCAGCGATAATTACCGTTCTAATCATATCTGATTTCGAACAAATAGTTTCTTGGTCAATATTTTTCTGCCTTAGTGTGGATTGCCATCAGGTTAATACGAATTTTTATGTGAGAGAAAAGAAAAAAAGCGATAGGATTTTAATAACGATTCCACAAAGGTTTCGCTAGGAAAGAAAACATAGATTATATTTTATTATATTTGTTAAAAAATTTCAAAATTAATGTCAATATATAAAATATTTCGAGATGATAATATCTACGACTATTAAGTTTTCTTATAGAAAAAATTAGATTTATTGTTTACTGCAATTTCTGGCAATGTTAACTAAATATTAATTTAAATATAAATTTAAATTTATATGAATAATATTGAAAATTTTTAATGTTTTTAATAATAACAGTTTTAATAATTTTTTTTTTTTAATATTTGATGCAATTTGAAAAAATTGAAATTTTATTTAAAATGCTGTATATTCTTCTTTTTTAGTTACAATCTTATATTCCCAGGCTTTTTTGTTAAGCTTTTGTAACAGTGAATTCTTTATAGGTTACTGGGTTTAAGACAGGGTGTGCGAATGGGTCTTGTTCAGGTTACCGCCTCGAGAGCTAGGGTTCGAACACTGCCAGCAGCAGCAGAGTGTACGTATTATTAAAAAACCCGGGTTCTGTAGCAAACCACCTGAATTTCTATCGCGAGTCCAGGGCAAAATTTTCTTATCGCATTAACAGCCATTGAAGTAAGCCAGAAATGGTGAACGCTAACCTCTTACTTATTTATCAGAGATTTCTAAAATAAATATTAAATTATTATCAAAAAAAAGTAGTCGGCTATAGAATAAAACTGCATATGTCACCATTGTTTGAAAATGAACATAGTTCCATTTGCATTTTTTGCTGCTTTCTATATTTATTTGCCAAAATTGGACTTCAACCGAATTTCATAAAATATGTTTGTCTTGTATCTGATTAAATGTAATAACAATTGTATTCTATTGTTATATACTTGTATGTCATCGAACCGGCTCAAATGGATCAATTCTTTGTCTGATTTATTTTTTTTTTTGATCGATAAGAGTCGAAAAAATTCTTCAGAATTATTTACCAAACTATTTTTCATGCTTATAACGCAAATGACCTTGGTGTCGTTCAATTAGGTGTTTTTCTCGCCTGAGGCCAGATTCGGTTTCTTTTTTTGTCAAAATATTGGAATCTAATTAAATCTGTTCAAGTGTTTTGATTTTTGGGGCAAAAGCATTGGCAAAAAAGGTTGATAATCACGTTTTTAAAATAAATAAACAAGTGGTTTTCTTTTCTTTTAAATGGAGTTCTTTTTCTAAATGAAGTATTACTAATAAATTCCCTAGCTTAATAAAAATTTTGACTGGAACAGTCTTTGACAGCCAATATTTTTTTGTGATTGGAATATTAGCTGGCAAAATTTTGGAGTTTTTCTTAATTTTTACCATTTTTTTGTGAGTGGTTCAGTGTTTTGTATGAAATGCCAAAATCATTGACAATATGCTTTCATAATATATAAATTATTTAAAAGTTTACCAAAAACATTTTAAAAAAGACATTTTTAAAATTAGATATTAAGAGATTATCAGGAAAACAATTAATCCTATTAAGCTATATATTCAATCCAAATTTATCTCTATGTTCCTCAGATTACATCAAAATTTTCCTGTTGGATTTTGAACGTTAATTTTTTTCCTAATTTGGAAAGCATAAATTCCTCACTGCATGATATCATGGTTGTCTAACGATAGGTTAAAGAAAATTTCCTTTATTTACCAATTATTAAACATCACTTGACTCCATTCAATTCACCTTCTGTAAACATATCAATTCTGCTAAAGTGTTCGTTATATCCTTTAAATTTTGTGAGCAACTGGGTATTGCTTGACTAAACTGGTCTTTGCCATTCTTATGGATTTCTAATTTTCATGAGGATTTGTTTCATTTGAATTTTTCCATGCAAGTTGTTCTGCTTCTATTATCTAGGAATTTTTTAAACTAGAAACAATAGCAATAACCAAGGTCATGGGGCTTGTACATCCATTAGAAGCAGTAAAATGTGTCATGACATGGATAACTATATAGCATTGGAAAGGCCTTATGGATTATAAGAGTGGCTTCATATTTTCTAAGGATTGGATTTAGACATGTTGCCGATTCCTATTTGTTATCTGACAATGTTCTCTTTCTTATTTATTAAACATTTTCCTTTTGATTCGTTAAAAATGATTCCTTCCTCCTATGTTTTTCAACTGTTTAGTAACTTAAAGTTAAGCGAATATTTACCATGTAAAAAAGTAATTATTACTCATAAATCCATTAGAAGCAGTAAATTATGTGTAAATTTGAAAGTTTAGATCTTTTTAACAACTTTTTTAATTTTTCAGCTTCAGCAATTATTTCGGAATCGAAATATGTAATTGAATTTCTGCGCTCAAAGAATAAAAATTACAAAAGGTCAACTAAACTTAAAATGTTTCTAGTCCTGCAATAATTTATTTTTCCAAATTTCGAGCTGTGGATTTTAGCCAGTAGATAATTTTTAATCTATTTCGAACAAACAATTCAGCATTGCTCTTCGTGATTTTTTCCAGGCTTTATAGGAGAGGAAAAGATGAAAACGAGTGGGGAGAATGATTCCAGCATAACAAGCGGCAATTCCATACGAATAATATGTTATGAATCAGAAATATTTGAAACATTTCAGTACACAGTTAGTTCAAATCCACATATATCACAGGCATAATGTATCGCTGTACAAAAGTACAGGAAAAGCTTTTTCAAACTACTAATAGAAATTAATTATAGGTGGATGATATGCTTTTAGCTGCAAGCATGGCAGCAACGGTTTTTAATGTGATGGTTACATTTTGCGCTGCGAAATTATTCCGGAAAAGTGGCGATACTATGCATTTGTTCATTATTAGTATGACGCTTGGTGATTTGCTACTGACAGGTGATTTGCTTTTTCACAGTTTCTAAGATATCAAAAAAAAAAAAAAAAACCAGAGCGACGAATAATAAAAAATTAAAAAGCAAAAGGAAATGTTCCAGCATTATGCCATCACAGATTCGATTCAGCTCTATTTCTTGATGGTAATGAGCCTATAAATGCTTATTAAAGCAAGTACTTTTATCTTCAAGATTCACTGGGTTTCATCTTCATTTGGTCAGCCAAGAAATGGTAAAGCTATAAGAGGAAGAAAAAAAATCGCTGCATGACAATCGCATAAAAAAGAGTATTATTATATTATAAGAGTATTATAAGAGTATTATATTTGTAATTTATTTTGAATTTGTTTAGTTCTGTTTCGTTTGTTTAGCTAATATATTTAATGCATGTTTCAGTGTTCTGTCATCCGAATGAATTTCTAACGCGAAAACATGAATTTTTGCGGAATGATCTATTATGCATGATAATTCATTTCTGCAACTGGCTGGGGCTTGCTGTATCAGGACTCTCACTTACAATGCTCAATATAGACAAACTAATCTACTTTCAATGGCCTTTGAGCTACGATCGGGCTATGTCGAAGAATAGAGCCATAATTTTCTGTACAGCAATATGGGTTGTTTCATTTGGGTATTTGATTCTTTTTTAAATCCAGACCTATCCAATCTAGTCCATATTAAAAATGAAATAGGTATTAGGGACCTACCTAATCCAATTCGATGATTTCATAGCTATTGGCAAAAATCCCGGGAAATATATATGGATCTATTGAAAATTCTATTTTTTTATAGATTTGTTTCTTATGTATGGATTGCTGATGTTGTTCACGTTGGTCGATTATGCAATCTTGAGGTTTCTTACTATTTATTATTAATCCAAGAAATAAAATTTCTACTTATTTCTTATTTCTGATAATTGCCAGGCTCGTCAAGCACTACGAAATGACAAAAATTTTCATCCAGTTAGCTAAATTTAAGAAATATACGTCAGGCCCCAAATCCATAATATCTTTTTTAAAGCTGAATCTATAATTTTTTTGTTTTATCAAAAATTGACTTTAGCTATAGTTTAAAAAAGGAGTTTCAACTGCAATAAGCGAAGTGAATATACATAAAGTGACTTCCATATTCCATATACTTAGATAAAATATTTATTTATTCTTGTAATCGAATATAAATAGCAGAAAAGAATTGCTGAAAATTCATTCGCTGACGAAAAAAACAGGTGACATTGAATGAAGTTATTTTTGCTGACGAGTTTTTTCTCTTGTCAAAACTAATATTTACTTGTACTTTATGGAAGTAAGGCGGAACATTTTTTCTCGATTTTTTTTCGATTTCTTTCCATATAACTTGCAGATATTTAAAATAACAAATTTAGAAAAAATTTTGACAAAATTTCTCTTTCTACAATAAAGTTGGTTACATGAATTAACAGGACAATCATTAAAATGGTTCAGTATTCCGATAACCGTTCAATATAACTCATAATATATAAAATTCTGAGAGGGCCAATAATTCTTAAGAGAGCAAAAGAATTGAAAACTAGAGCAAAACTATAAGAACTGCATTGATCAAGCACCATTGAAGCGGATAGACCGAAGCCACTGTTTTTGGAAGTTAAATCTTAATTTGAATTTTATTCTCGGTCTTCAAAAATATTTGGAAAAGTGATTGTTCAGTTTTTCTGGACAAACTTATTTTAATTTCATATTTTTTAGATGACTGATAAGAAGCGTTATTTCTATGAATTCTTCATGGTTGTTTTTTGTGTTTTACCGGTCACATCATCAGCAATCGTTAGTGGTTACCTTTATCGCCTGACGAGAGAGAAAAGAAATGCCTCAGCTTGTATCGGACAGAATACCGACACTTCAACATTTAAAACTAAGGTTTTTATACCATATTATTTTCAATTCCATTTGAAGCTTTATCTCTCACCTTTACGGTTATTTTTGCTGGCCCTTACAATAACATTTATTGACCTTTTTGCCATAAGACCACTTTGAGCATAGAAATGGTATTTTATTTCTAATAACACAGATTTTTTGATGATAAATTTTCTCTTGCACATAAGCCATAATGTTTGAAATGATAATCTAAACAACAATATAATCAATTAATCCTCAAGATTTTCTTTTAGGCTAATAAGATATACCAAGAGTTCGAATCTTTTTGAGAGCTTTCCATTCTTTATTATCTTAGTTTACAGTTTTGATGAAAAAATATTTTTATAAAATAAGAGCAATTATTTAGGTGCGATCTCTTGTTTTTATTTTTGCAACAACTACTTGGACATCATTTAGTCTCCTTCCATATAGAATTTTCAATATTTGTCGTATTCATTTGTTTGAGTGGAATACCATCGAATGTGTTCCTCGACAACAATTACATTGGTTGGCATGGACTCTGCTTTATCTTCTTACTTTGAATCCGGTAAAAAAATGATTCATTTTTGAGAAATTTGATTTAAATTAATTCATCTTAATTTTTCTTTTCTTCATTCACCATTTCCATTTCATTCACCATTTTTTGGCTATTTCCACCGGCTATTGCGGTAAGATCACTTGCTCAAGGATTTCACTTTTAATGATAGATTTTCTCTCTTCAGTGAAACCTATTATAGCTTAGTCAGAGTGATGTACCAACTTATTCGTTAATTCATTTTATAAATTAAATACCGTGGAAAATTAAATTTTACATGCAAATTTTTTCTTGGAAAGCCGACCATTTCTAATTAAGATCGCCAAACCTTTTAAAAGGCATATTTACTCCTGCAAGTAGTATAAACCTAATATCAGCGCTCCGAAATGAGAAAAACCCACTGAGCCACTTTACAATATTTTTGTACTTTTATAAAAATATTTTCTTTTAAATATTTAAATAAAAAATTATGCATTTTTTCTTTTTTTTGGCCAATCTTTGCAAAAAATTTGCAAAAATTTCCTGATTTTTGAAAGTTATTTTCCAAATTATCCATGAGGTTTTAGATTATAAATCCTTTGATAACGGCTTTGATTTATACACCATATCGACTAACTATCAAGAAATTCCTTATCAATATTCCTATTGGAAATCGACCAATTTATAATTATCGGACAGATGTTTGCACAGATACGAGGTTCCGTTCATTGATTTTTCTAGTAAACTTTTCTTGATTCCATCTTTAAAACTTAAATATCGATTCCATCTTTAATTGAAACTTTAATCATACATTTGAAATATAAGTTTTCAGTCAAATCAAATAACTTTTTTCAGTTATGTATCAGTTCGACGAAGTAGGCGAAGAAGAGGTTCAACGATAGGCGACCATGAGTTAAATAATCTGCAACCAAATGGTGCAGTTTCAGACGTTCGAATGAGCTTAAATAGCGCACCAGAATGTGGTGAAGCACTCAACGATGTTGAAAAATCTGAAAGGCCAAAAAGTAATCCATGCCCACTGACCTCTGATATTTAAGGTTTCGCTTTTAACTTTAAGAAGCAACATCTATAATTACAAAATTTTTAAGTATGAATTATGAATTTAATAAATTGAAGTGGACTACTTCCTTATCATATCCTATTTAATACCGTGATTATATTTTATTGTATTTAGTGGAAGAATCTATCTTAAGCGACATCGATGATTTTTTTTAGCGAGCATGATTTATTTGACATTTTGGCTTATTTCTTATTTCTTTCCATAGCAAAAAGCCCTTGTGCTAATTTTATACTGGTGAAATATAATTTCTACTATACCCTTTTCAGTTTCCTCATGCATGCATAATCAATATAAATAAATATTTATTGCAGGATTTTCGCAGATTCATATCTAGTGGGAGAACAAAAGATTATAAGTTATGCGTTATTACAATTCATTTGATCGAAAATTGAGTGGTACTATCATAAAGTGACTGAACCTAATCGCCATTTCGTCCAAAGCTATATGGTTTTGCCTTCTAAATTTTGAATTTATATATTTTTGTAAGCGGGTTTGCATTATATTTTTCGTCATCATTGTTTCATTATTTAACACAGATAAATTAGCGAATAACTGATTATAACTGACAACTGGATAACTGATTATAATGCCAAGAGATCTATATGAGAGTACCATCGATCACCATAGTTCTTTTCCCCTTTGAGATTTTATTTTACTTTTGAATTCTCTTTTGTTTTTTTTTTTGAAACGTGCATTTGTAAATAACATTTATTAATGTAACATTAATGAACAACATTGAATGTGGGTCAGTCGATCAGTGCAGTGAAAATATTTGTACTTCATCGTCATCTGGAAGCGCCAGTTTAATATAACTTTACAAACTCTTAGGAATGAGTCGTCTTCACCATAAAATTGGATATCCTATATCACTGATCAAGCGTAAAATAAATTTCATTTTTTTACTCCATATCGCTTGTTTTTTACTCCGTATTGCTTGTACCGCTTCATTGATTTGATCACTTTAGATTCACGTTAATGTAATCGAGTAAATTAAGGCTTAGATTATCGCGTCGACCTCTGCTCTTGTGATAAGTGCTATGCATTTGCTTATTTATTCATTTTTACTGTACCATAGTCACTTTTAAATTTCTCAAAATGTCTGAAAAATATTTTCGAATAGATATTGTTTACTGACTAGAAAAACCATCGTTATGAATCTTTTTGAAAGTATCCCTGAAACGAATCTTAGGAACAAATCACCAGTGAGTGCAATAGTCAAATTCAATGCCGTTTGTAGGCAAGAAATCTGTTGCTTTCAAAGATAACCAATAATCTCATGTTCTAAAATTTTTTAGAACTCTTTGTTTAGTTTACCATGAGCCAGGTACGGTTAATAGCTGGCCAGTATGGTTTTCTTGATTTAGTTTCATCCTTTTCTCTAACATATTTTATATTTAATGATGCCGCCTCGATCTTCACTTTGAAAAAATTTTATGGCTTTTCGTTGTATTTTTGGGAATCTCTTTGTGCATTTTATTGCACTTATAGTTCATTCTGTAAATTTTTATGATTATGAAAAGGATTTTTTCATTGTCAAAAATAAAAAAAAATATTATGAATTGCATAGGTGGAATTCCTTTTTGTTATTTATATTTTATTTTGCGCATTTTATGCCGCTTGATTTTTTTCGATTTTTTTTAGTTGATTTGTTTTGTTTAATTAATTCAATCAGCAAATGCTACGATCCGAGTTCGGTGACTGTCTTACCTTGCAGATCTATTATTACTTATTGCTTTCATACTGCTCATCGTTATATTATGTATATTTTGGCTGCTTTATTTTATTTTTGTGCATATGAAGATCTATGAATGTTATACTACCAAAATAGAAACTATATTCTTGAACAAAAATAATGTTGAATAGAAAATTTTATTACGAAACTAATGAAACTAATTGATAAAAATACAATGATAATCACAAGTTTTACTAGCAATTCATAACTGCTTTAAAATAAGTAATTTCCCACTGCACATATCCGCTAATTCTTCGAACTTTTTCATTGTTATTTCAAAATTGGATAAAATTTTTTAATGCGAAATACTGCAATTCATAATCATAATAATACACAGCATGAATCTGATGATGGCTGTTCGGCAAGATCAATGAATCCATCATTTTTACAGTTCCTCGATAATCTAATTAATCTTCTGAAACAAATAACGACACTATTGATATATTTCATTTAAATAATATTGAACTTTAGATTTTAAATCATATGTAAGAGATTTTCATACCTACGACCTTATAAATTGTTGCATTGCGGAAATGATTAGGAATCTGACTTTCCTAGTCCGGTAGGTTTAAAACTAATGATTATTTAATAACTACCAAGCATGACTTTTAATTTTCATCGTCAAGGAGTAATCGAAACATTATGCTTAATCTAAGAAATACTCCATTGAGCTATACTATCCTAATACCTTAAAATTGGTTATTTGTGCTAAAATATGCTTTAAACAATTGATAAATTGATAAGAAATAAAAAACAAAAAGGAAAATAAAATATTGGACGAATAAGATAAAATCAGTTTCAAGGGAGAATTTATTTTGAAAGAAAAAATTAAGCAAAAAAATTACCTTGCGATTTCTTCAAAAACATGTTGAACATTCTGACCTGTTTTAGCACTTGTCTCAACGAAATTAATACCATACGCCTGAATCGGATTCTGATTTATGCTGAATTTTATTGAATATGGTCCAGATTAAAGAATTAAAAACTTCCATTTAGTGTATGAAATTATATAGAAATAACGTATAATTTTAAAAATATTTTGATTTACAGTTACACGCTGTTCTATCGGCCTTCAAATTCCAAGACAAAAAGACAAACCAAGCAAAAAAAAGAATGTTCATTAATTTTAAATCATGCTTGCGAGAGGAATTCAGACGAATTCATTTCTACCAGAAAATCCAATTATGTGCTAAATGATTTTAAAGAACAATTAGGAATGAAGAGGAAAGAGATTAATAAATATTTTCTTTTTATTAAAATAAAAACAAAAATAAGCAATAAATAAAATAAGCATGCAAGCAATAGTAAACAGATATCTTTATCAACTATCTTTGCAAAAAATGTCTTAGTTGTGAGATACCTACCTACCTCAGCCAATTTTCGTCCTTCATCATATTTCACTTTTCGCTCGCTGCTCAAATCATTTTTATTACCGATTAAGGTTATAATTGCAGATTCTTTAGCACATTCCTGTATTTCAGATAGCCAACCCTGCAAGAGACATGAAAGCAAAAATATAAATAATTTATAATTCAAGAAGTTTTGATGATCACTATTTTTATCATCTGTCATGAAATTCGAAAGAAGAAAAATCATTATAGTTCATCATATAAACAATTTTACGGCTAATTTACCTATCAATCGTAGTAATACAAAAAATATAAATAGAAATTCTTTCGTTACTTTGAAGGAATAGTTATTTTTTTTTTGATGCTTAAAAAAATAATTGAAGCAATTGAAGTATGGTTATGCACACGTAAATTTCTCAAAATAGGATTATCTTAAAATTTTAAAAAATATATGAATCTCATATCACTAATGCTGAATGCGAAGAATGTCAAATATAAAATACTGAAAATATCAATGGGAACCAGCTTAGAATGTCAATTGCAGACTCATATTAAATATTATTTTAGTCCTTCCCATTGATCGCCATGCGTACTTATAATGATTTTTGGTAGCACAGTTCAGTGAGCAGTAAGTTTATAGGTAATTTTAAACTTATAAAAACTTATAGTTTAGAAAAATTTGAAAGTCAAAAATTATTTTATCACATCTTACTCGAACGTTTTGGAAACTTTCTCGATTAGTTATGTCATAAACTAGCAAGAGTGCATCTGCATCGCGGTAATAAGTTGCAGTAATCGATCGGAATCTTTCCTGACCCGCAGTATCCCAAATCTAAATTTACGTCTTTGCTGGTCAATTCCCATAATTCCTTATGCTTAAACAGCAATCAACTGCGATTATATTTCTTTTATATTAGCTAGCATAGGTATTTTTATTATAAAGAACAACCTGTAGTTTGACTTTCAGGTTATCGAGTTCCAGAAGTTTATTCTAAAAAAAATGATTGTAAAATAAAAAAATTCTAAAAATTGTGCAGAAATTTAGAAATTTCTGTGTTTATTAAAGTTTATTCTATTCATAAAAGTGTTTCACTTAATAATAATGGAACTCGAATAATGGAACTTACGCGATAATCTATTCCAACGGTCGAAATAAAGTTGCTATTCAAGAAAGTACCATCTTTAAAACGAATCAGCAAACATGTTTTTCCACAACAACTGTCACCAACCAGCATTATCTGCAAGAATAGTTTAAAGATTTGATTGTACCCAGAATCCAGAATCTGTATTAAAATCTAAATTTATATCTTTGCTGGCCAATTACCATGAATCCTTATGTTCAAGCAATAATCAATTTTTTTTTTCTTTTATTTGTTAGATATTATTTGTGAAATGGTTTAACCCAAGTGATATAGGTAATGATGACCACGTGAAATAATGGAAACTCACAGGTTCTATTTATAAAAGTGATTTGAAATATGGTTAAGGAACTATTAAAAATATAGATCTTTTCTCAAAATCTGTTTGAAATAATTGGAGTTCAATTTTTGGTACCAATAAATCAAGGAATGATAAATATCTTGCAATAGACAAATTACAAATAATAAATATCTGTAATAAATACTGTCATAATGTTTATTTTAATAAACCTCCAAAAAACTTTAAAGAAATATAGATTGATGAATTTTTATTAAATCTCTGGAATGTATGAATAGTTTTAAAAATTTCTCTCTTCCAGATTTTTTATCGATATGGTAGCTCCTAATTTGAAATTTCCAATCGAAAATTTAAATTTTTCACCACCTTTTTGCATAGTTGACATTTCAAAATGAAGCATTTATTACTGTCATACAATGAGAGGCTGAAAAAAGTGAAAATTTTCTAAAAAATTCAAATATGTTGAAATATTAGTTAATCTAGAAAAGGCTTAATAAAATTTTTACCAGATTATTGTCTATCATGGACGTATTTAAAATGGTATTTGGCGTTCTTAACGAAAAAAGAGTATATAAAGAACCAATTCTTCATCCATTAAAAAGGTGATGTTATGTTGCTTAGGTTACCAAGGTTAGGTCATCATATGCTCGATTCCTATCAATTGAGAGAATAAACCTGTTAGGAATAAAAGATTCAGGTGGTGTTAGAAACCAATCCATATTTCTCGATTACCGCAGAGAGATATCATTCTAGCAATCAGTGTGGTCAGCCAAACCAGAATTTGGTGAGTTTTAGAAGAATAAAAAGAAACAGTAGAACTTGACATGATTGCAAAAAATAATCACTCTGAATTAAACTTGTGTAACTTTAAATGTTTATTAATAATTCTAATAATTTAGTCGCCCTTCGTGATCGGCATCACTAAAATATCGTGGAAAATTGCCTTTATAAAAATTGCCCAATTTTGTTTGAAAAATATATTCCGTAGAAATTCTATTCCGCTTCATATGACTTATTATTGTTTTCTATCATCAAAAAAAAAAAAAGGGTCACTTCAATATCTAATCTTTTTATTAGAACAGTATTAGATATCTATTAGAACAGTAAATATCGTGAAAATATCGATAATTTTTTAAAAAATAAAACAAATAAGAAGCATAGCCTACCGTAAACGAATAATCCACATCTGTGAATATCGATAATTGGCTCGTTTTCTTCATAAATTCTTAAAAATAACAATAAATTTTGTTGGGACAATTTAAGGTTAATTAACAAAAAAAAGAAAAATTGCAACTTCAAATAATCAAAAAATCAGAAAACAGAAAAAAATCAATTTTTTGTGAATCAAAAATTGAAAAAATCGATTGTTTGATGATAAAAATCAACACAATAGAAGGAGATTTATTAAATTAAATTAAAATATTCCATAGATGGTTGAAGATTAAAATGGAGATGCAAAAATGTGGGTGAAAATACTGAAAAGCTTAAGAGTAATAAAGAAAGGAAAAATGAAAGTAAACAAATGAATAAAAATTTATGCTAAAAAAATGAGCGAATTAACGTTTTAGCCTATTGAATGGAAAAAAAACGGTTAAAGAGTAATTTTGTTATATAATATGTGATTAGATGAGCTCATTTTTTTAGTTCATTTTTCTTTTAAATATTAAAAATGGGACGTTTCTATCAAATTTATATCTAGGTAAAAGGATGGTAAAAGGATGGTCGAATGGTAAATTGTCTCGATTCAAATACAAACCATCATAGATTCAACTCATGTGCCCTGACGATAGTAAGTAATGCGGATGACCTCTACCGTCGAGCAAAAACGTGAGTGAGAAAGTTTCAAACTAGTAATCAGTAGAGGTAAACATATTAGAAAGAAGAGGAAAGAAGATATATTCAGTAGAACATAAGTGAATGACAAGTTTCCTAAGGAAAACATGAAATTAATCATGAGAGCTTAAATGGAAGACAATATAGCATTACAACACTTTAATCCCAAAATGAATGTTTTACTTTACCGAATTCCAAGACATCTTAAAATATGAAAGCACATATTTTATAATATATATTCAAAGCAAGGTGAATAGCGCTTCAGATTAATGTGCATGTATGAGATACAAAAATTCGGCTCATCCCTGTGCACTTCTATCGTCTTAAAAATCCTTAAAAATTTCTTAACATAATGGTACCAAATTCAATTAGTATAAACAGAAATGATAGGCGATAACCACTTATTTCTCAGTCCATTAGCAATACTCGCCAATTAACAGGATTAAAAATTGTATTAAAAAATTCTAATTAAATTAGTATTAAATTATCTCAGACGCTTCAACAATCCATTTAAAATAAGTGTTCTAAAAATTGGCACAAAAAAACTTGTGTCCTCTGGTAATGCCTAAGCACCTATACTTTCTATATTTTTATCCGTATATGGCTCCAGCGAAAAAGTAGTGGTTTCTATTGTAGCAGTGAGTAGAGCCTAGCATTGGGGAGAACAGAAGAATTAAAAAAAATTTAAGACCAAAAAATGACAATTCACTTAAAACTTAGACTTTGATCGTTTGAATTTATTATCGTAAATACGAGATAAATTAGAAACTAATAAGTGACCGATAAATTCAATCAAAAATTTATTTATAAGTTTTTACTTAATTAATTTACTTTTAAGCTATTTTAATTATTTCCATTACAATTTGCTGTGATTTTTGGTTAATATTGCTGAAATTTTTAATAAAAACAGCCATAATCTATTTTTTTAAATATATTATCATCTGACTAGGTAGGATAGCCGTGCCGATCAAATTAAAATCTCTTCAGAGTCAGAGATTAATATTCTATCACTTTTGATACAAGTGATTTCCTAAGAAAAAAATTCTCACCTTACTCTCACAACCAGTGGAGGAAACATCCTAACGAAAGATCCTAACAAGAAACAAGAAATGAGCATTTTCTTAATTTTTTACCTTACGTTTCGAATGTACTGATAGTTTATTTTTTATTTTTTTCGATTTAGAATGATGAATCTGTTACAGTGGAACTAATTTTTTCAGTTATATTTTCAGAGAGTCACCTATGAAAATGCTGAACTTTCGACGCTTTGATTGTTAATAAGTAGAAACTTTAGATCTGAATAATTTTTACTTTGCATGATTGAAGCTTCCAAGCACAAATAAATTTAACAATGGTAATTAACAACGTTTGGTACCATATCGGCAAGTTAACTGGGTTTACTTTTGATTATGTAAGATAATAAACTTTAATAAACTAAATAAACTTTTTTATAGCCATTACTTACCTATTACCGATTGTTATTATAAGAAAAAAGAATGCAAAAAAAACTTGAAAAAAACTTGAAGAAATGAAAAATAATGAATTGTGGTAAAAGTTTTATAAAACGAATACTTTTTTTTTCAAAAGAGTCCTCACCATTACTGGCTAAACTCGCTCCACTAGCCTGTCGCATTGGGCAATATGTCAGGGAGTCCCTTGGCGCTAGAAATAAAGGTGAATCGCCAGCATTACTCGGATTTTTATACAGATTTACTCCTGCGGAGAATCGAAGCATTGGCGCTCCCAATTGAGTAACAACCCATTGAGCCATATAAAACAAATATTAAAAATGATCAATTATCAATTATCTTCCAACATTTATCGTAATGATGTCTACACATTTTTTTTACTTATTTATTCATTCATTGAAAACCAGCCAAGCAGGGCGCCATGTGCTTGTATTAATAACAACAAATAATTAAAAAACAAATAATAAAAAATGATGACAAAAACAAGAAGAAAATATGACAAAAAATTAAACAATTTAGAGAGGAAATTGCAAAATAATATAATATAGTTCAATTCTAAGCAACTGCATTATTATATTTAATTTATTTAGTATTATTATATATAATCCGATAGTCGAGATTTCACATTTCCTGCATGATGTGAACTTTTTAAATAATATCATAAATGATATTATCTAATCTTTTTTTAAAGATAACTGGGGATGACGCACAAGCTATGTCATCCGGTAATTTATTCCAGAAATTAATATTACGAATAAAAAAATCATGAGTCCTTAGTTTGGTTTTACACATAGGTTTCGGTTTAGTAATTTTAGCCTGTTGGTTGTTATTGGATTTAAATTTAACCTAAAATTCTAATATTTTGAGCAATCTAGTTTAACCATACAGAATCGTATAAGTATAAATTAAATCTTTTTTAATTACGACGAACTGAGAGAGAATCCAGGTTATATTGTAGAAGTTTTCTTTTATAATTAAATTTGCAATTAGGAGAGAGGCGTCGTATAAAGTACTTTTGGAGTCCCTCAATTATTTTATTTGATTTACGATATCTCGGAAAGTAACATGTAGTATTGTAACCAAGGAGTGGCCGAACGAAAAGAAAGTCTTCAGTTTTTTTCTTAAATGAACGAAAAATAAAATTTAGTATCTTTGAGGATTTCTTTCATAGTTCTGCAGTGAAGGTCGAAATCGAGATTTTCATCTATGATTATTCCAAGATCGGAAATATGACTCTACTGATTATATTGCCATTAATAATAAGATTAAGCAAATGGAAACCTTTAGAATTGATATGAAGAACACTACATTTTTGAAAGGAAAGAATAATTTACCTGTCATGTAGTCAGTTGGCTATTCCGTTGAGGTTATCCTTAATGGAGATAGATTATCTGATCTACAATGCGAATAATAAATTTTACAATCATCAGTATAAAGATAAATGGTAGAGTTTAGTACCACTTTAGTAATATTGTTTATATAATAATAAAAAATAATTCAACTTTTAAGGCTTTTCTTATTTAATAATTTAATAAGTACAATAGTATTCCTTTAATTCCTTTAATTCACCTTTTCCCAATCTTACTTCCCATTCAAGATTTTTCAACTCAAACTAAAAGGTTTGAAGACAATAAATATATTTCAGACCAAATTATGGAAGCATCTCAATGTCAGTGGCACATCTAGAACGGCTGATGAATATTAGTCCCAATTGAAAGCACATTTCCAAAAATCGCCCAAATCCACCCTATGATATGCCACTCAGAAATGCTAGGTATATGTCAGAAAGAATTTTCTAACTATGCAAAAAACTACCAAAGCTCAAAAAGGTCCTAGCCATTAGATGCTTCGAAGAACAATAACAACACGATGAAATGGCACGACTTTGAATATGGAGACGATTGCTCGAGTAAAGAAAATAGGAATCTGTTGAGCATAAAATAACCATCGATCAGTGAAATAGGATCTTGAAACTATCAAAAATCTTGTGCAGTGGGGGAAATTCTTTAAGGCCAAATTTAACCAGATGCGCCATCCATCATCCAGGGTGTAGTTTAGCGAACCATATGTTTGCGATTGCGGGTCAGTATAGCAAGAAATAATCTCCATAATTTAGAAACTTAAGACTAATAAAGAGTACTGAGAAGATGGTCTTCAGGCTGAAATCTTCAAATGTTATCCACCGCTCTTCCTAACACACCTTTAACAGATTTATTTTCTGATATATATGATATATGAGAAGGAAATAATGGCAGATGAGTAAAACAAGGCGCTCAATTCCCGAGAATGATGACAAGCCATACTGTGACAATTATCGAGGAATCCTATGAGATATCTATGGGAAAATTTTCGCTATTCTCGTACTGCATAGATTTATGACAGTACAGTACAGAGGGATGCGCTATAACCAAGTAATTCAGACCAGGATGCGACTATGTTAACCAGATATTCACGTTAATAAGGGCACTAGAATATCACTTCAAATATCAGCATACCATTGTCGCTTGTTTCAAAGATTTTGCAGCCGCCTCTTCTATTCAACTAATAGAATAGCGCTTCGTATGGTGATATGATAGTGTTCCAGAAGATCATACGACTCATAATTTATCATTGTATATCAGCATAGGTGTATTTAGAAGATTCTTTCGAAATAAGAATTTTTCTCTACAATTGAACTATGGAAAAGATTGTATAATGGACATAGCACTTGTCAGCATTCAAGAGGTATACAAATCGGTCCAGAGTACAGATTATAGATTACAGATTACGTATTATAGATCTTACAGTCCTTATAATGATAGTCCTTTTTGTTGATAGCTACGAAGAAATTACTTTGACATTATAATTGACATTATAATCGACAAAAATGGAGTTCAGGATCGATATGACGAAGGTATTTTCGTCTTAGAGAAGAAGCTTTATCTTGAACCCATTCTTTTGGACCAATTTTTGGACTAATATAAAGCGAAAGACGAAATTGCAATCCGGATAATTGCAACCAAAAAATACGCTCTGAGGCTGGACAAGCCTCTATAGAACCGCCATGAAATGACCATCAAAACAAGAGTTTGCATTTATCGAGTTACTGTATGCATGATCTTATATAGCTGCGAAACATGACCATTAAGAGTGGAGGATACTAATATACCTTTGACAGTTCTTGTCAATGACATAGACTACTTACACGCCGAGCGCCTAAAATCTTGCACGATCGCATCCACTTTTTACCATCTTCTTCTTCATCTAACAGTTCACACCATTACTATCTGCATAAGTAATATTATCATCAAGCGGACCTGGTTCACGCTGGTTGGACCATGTCCTTCGTCGCTCACTAGAGGATGATAATCTAACTTTCTAAATTTTTGCTAGTTCCCTAACAGGATTTTCAATTCCACTGATAATTCCCATTAAAAGACCGGACCATTGTTTGAAGGAATATTCAGCCATTACCAATAACCATTCGACTATCGACTGCCCGTTGAACATTCTTGAAAATCATTGGTTTATAGATGACTGTTCGTAATAATTAAGCAATGGCATTTTTCTATATGAATGAACTGCATTTAATATTATATTTGAATGAAAAGGAAAAACCGATCATCAGAATCAAATAAACTAATGAATATTTGATTGGCAGATAATTTGTTTGGGCGACTCGCATGATAAGAAAACCTAAAATATCCTCGCAAATAATATTTCTCTTCCCTTGTCCGATGCAATCTTTACAGCTAGCTGCACGAAGCTCGTTGCAAAAAATTTTTATATGAGGTTATGAGATTTTATATGGAAGTGGAAAATGCCAAAATGAAAATGGCTTTACTATGGGATTTTGATAAAAGAGTATGATGAGGCTTTGGGTGTATTAAAGACGTTTTGTGGGATTTGAGTAAGGGGTTTCATGAGAAAAACGCGACAAGCACCTACTCACACACTATAATCTTTGGCCAAAACCCATTATCTTTGTTATAAAGACCTATGCTTTATAAATATTACCCTATTACAAACTTCTTTATATTACCATAATTCCTTCAGATTCCTCCATTACGACCCCCTCACAAATTATAAATCGGACAGGATAAATGAGGACTGGAAGTGAAATGAAATGAGTTAATTTTTAGTCCTTAAAATGACCTTAAAATGATTATTAAAATGATTAAAACGGCCATGCTTGAGTCTAATTTAACGGCTTATATTCCTTCTAAATCTCTCTAGCAAAAATAATCAAGATGGCTTAATGGATATTAATTCAAGTTATTGTATTGAGACACAAAGATTCTTGAACAAGGGTAAACCTGTCATCAAAAATTTCGAAAAATTCTGATGGTGGTGGCTAACTACTTGTATTCAGTTGCTAAGTGGCTCCTTGGAAAAATACCGCATCAGCCTAATGAGAAATATTAAGTACTAACCACTTACTTTTTTTACTCTTTTAATTTTGCCGTATTTCTTTTAATTGTTAACAGTTATCATAATGTAATAGTTAGAATAAGAAGAATTACTTGATTCGTAAAAATCCATACGTATTGGTGAAGCTTTTTAAACATGTCGATAGAAGTTGGAAATTGAAAATCGAATTAGGAATTCAATTTAGACAAAATTAAAAAAGCTAATAAGAAAAGAATTTCTTAAAATTGTCTAGAAAAAAGCAGTAATAAAGACAGTTAAAATATGACATGTGGATAAAAGGATAGTCGAGCGGTATGTTGTTTGCACTGAGATGAAACCAAACCAACATAGGTCTAATTCCAATCGACGACAGAATCCTGATAGTGCTAAAAGAGCACTGGTGTTTTTATCCCCAAGGGAGAGGCGAAATGGTCCGATAAGGGAAAATTGTCTCAGTAGGCCGTAGAACCGACAAACCAGAGATGATGAGTGCTAGAAATGAAAGAAAAGAAGCGATAAGTATGGCTTCGAGATAGAAAACATAAGAAGAGATGTGCGTAATGTGTTTTTTATTTCGTTGTATAGCATCAAGCTTCAAGAAATCTGAAATTCTAACAAAATTGTTGATAAATGCTTTTTTTATATAAATGGCAATTTTAAGCTTTAGTTAGCAAATTTAATTTTCAAATTTTATTTCGGCCAACAGATTCAAAAAATTATATTATTCGCACGCTATTTAAACAATTGATTTTGATTCGCTCATGGAATTTTCATCATAATGATGACAATAACTGATCATAAAGATAATAAAAATAAATATATGGCCATTGAGCATTCTTATGCATTCCTTGCAGCTATTAATTGTTGAAAACCAGTTGTTGGCCAATATTCCATTATTTAATCAATAGTTTATTATCTGAATTTCGGTACTTCCATAGTTCGTTACAATGGATGTAGAGTAATATAAATACTGTGAAGGATGACTTCATTCTAATGCATTTATATCTAGTCTGTTCTTATAAAATCCTGACAGAATCCTGACAGAATTTAGGCGCTGGTAAAATAGAATTTGTGAAATTGAGATTAATTTTAATAAATGAAATAAAAAAAAAACCTTGTTTAGGAAAAATAGGTGGACATTTCCATATGAATCAGTGGTATTTTAATTGAAAAAGCATTCTTATAACCTAAAAGCAGTAGCAAAACCGCTAAATTATAATTGTACGATGCCTTAATTAATTATCGACAACATTGTCTAATGATTAGTGTCCACCATTTCCAGTTAGGTTCATTCCTTTGGATGCTAATGCAATTAGAATTTTTTGCTGTGAAAATACTTAGCGATAGAAGTTGAGTTGAGTCACCAGCACCACTGAGATTTTTCACACGTTTCGGAGACAGGAAGTGAGCCGTCGACTAATAAACAAAATCAGGAAGATTTTTTCAGAGAAAAATATTTTTAAGTTCCTCTTCAGAAAGTTTTTATGTCTGCACTGAAGAACTTCGAAAATTCGAACATTCGAGTTTTTATCATTTATATCAAATCTCTATTGAATTTAGACTATTTATTAAACTTTTTTGTTTTTTTATAGCCATTTACAAAGCTTTTTGTTTTTATAACTATGCTTTGATATTTATATATTTTAGAATCAATATCTCAATATTTGATATTAGAAATTACGTCAATACGAGGGATTATCGAATTTCGGTTTGTCATTATAAATATAATAATTATACACGAAGCTTTTAACATGAAAGTGCTTTTAACATGGAATAAAAAGAGGCTATTTGTAGCAGAAGAAAAGTTATCGTTCGAAGGAAAATTATTAGCTTCGCCGTTCTCCACTTCTATCAATATAGTAATGCAATAAAAAATAAAAACAATGGTAATACCTTATTATTTTATGCAAATTAAGCTTAGCAGTTTTTATTAGCAAATATAGGAATTCCCACTAAACTTCCAAACTTTATTTCTAGAATCGATGAAATGGGAAAATATGACAAAAAAATCATTGACCAATGAAATAGGCTCTTAAGAAGAAGAAAAGTACTAATGAAAATTGGAATAAGATGGATGATAATCGAGTGTTTCGAATATCACTTCGAATCAGATCCATTATTCCATTCGTTTCCGTTCTAATATTCGTTTCGTTAGGTGAGAATAAATATCATTAGATTGAAACTGTGTCATCTTTTGTGCTTTTAGAAGGAAAAGAAATTGTCTAAATTCAAATAATTCTTCGATGAATTCAACAATGTTCAACATTTGAAAATTTATAAAAAAAAGCAAATATTCGTACAAGTTTCACTGAACAGTTTGAAAAAAATTTGGCAGAATTTGAATCATGGAAAGCGTATAAAATCAATTGAAAATAATTAAATACAAAATAAACAAATATTAAATAAACAAATTTCGGAATTTTCCAATTAGATTTCTTCAACGATTTCGTAGGGGTGTTTATTTTTTCTATATAAGCTGTATATTATGAAAAATAAAAAAATTTTTCAATTGATTGAATTAAATCAAAAATGTTTCGATTTTTTCGTATAAGTTCAGTGGCATGCATAATTGCAATTAACGGTTCCATTTGTGTATTTCCTATTTACTTCAAAAACCGAGTGGTGCTACTGCTTCGAATTCTCTTATTGGAAAGCCGGCATATTGGCTTTTTTCCTTCCCTTATCTCTAGCTCTTAGTCAGAACAAAGCCATCATTAAAAGCGATGTCTGAATGGTGTTAGAGACCTATAATTATACTTCCACCCTGAAGTGACTCTGTCATGAAGGAGTCTCATCTTAATAGTTAATGTAGAAAACTTAACTAAGAATGATTTCACTTATTTCATTTAGCTTATTACTTTGAAAAAACAGTGTTCAAACTATTCAAAGCAAATGTTCGAATTACTTGCAATGAAAATATTGCTTATTTAATGATTTTTTCTTCTTTCAAAAATACTCTTCATTTTTTTGGTGGTCTCATTAGGATAAAATTTCCTTGCCAGAAAATTCAGCCATATTTACCTATTAACCGCAGGTTTATTATTTTTAAAGGGCTTTGAATCCATAATGCTTGTACTTGCACAAAACATTTTTATCACCCTTTAATTATAAAACTATCGTATTTTCAATTTTCAACTCCAAGCATTATGAATTATGGGGCAAAGGGAAAAAATTTCTTATCTCATATTTGTTCAAACAATGCAATATCTATAGGAATAATAAATAGCACGAACATATTCTAAAAGCAAAAAGAAAATTTAAGCACGATTTTTATTTTAACCGATTACAGTAAAGCGATCTTTAAGGAAACGACATCAATAGAAGAAAATTCAAGAAAAAAGATTTCATTCAAGAAACTTCCCAAGAATTTTTCAGCATTCTAAATAATTTACATAACAAATTCGTTAGGTTTAATCGATGGAAAAATAGATAAAGCATTATGGTTGAAGCAATGAGAAAAAAAGACAAAGATACTTCAAAAAAGAGATTTAAAATTAAACAACTTAATAATTGTATTCAAAAAACTTAAAAAAATGATTGTTAAGAAAATTTGAAATAGCTTTCTAAAGGAAACTAAAACGAAATCATTGAATATATCTCAAGAGAATCTTAATAATATCGCATCATATTCCGATAAAAAAACATCCATATTAGCCTATATTATCGGATCATTCAAAAAATTCGGTCTTTTTGTGTCGTTAATTTTGTAAGACTATATCTTTTTGAAAAATCAACAATCAGCATACTTTTGTCAACGTGGCGCAAGTGCCTTTATTCCTTTCGC